AAGATTGAACTACATATGAAGAATTGAAATCTGCTTTCTTTGCTGGAAAATTATGGACATCGTTCCATGTTAAGAAAAATATCATAATTGTCATATGATCAGTAAGTCTTTTTTTTTTTTAAGATTTTATTTATTTATTTGACAGATAGAGATCACAAGTAGGCAGAGAGGCAGGCAGAGAGAGAGAGAGGAGGAAGCAGGCTCTCTGCTGAGCAGAGAGCCCGATGTGGGGCTCAATCCCAGGATCCTGGGACCATGACCTGAGCCGAAGGCAGAGGCCTTAACCCACTGAGCCACCCAGGCGCCCCTGATCAGTAAGTCTTAAGGAGGTCTGTCATACAGATCCCTGTTCATTTCCTTTGAGCCACAGATTTTTAAAAAAAAAATCCTTATTCTTTTATCTATTTGTGTATCTGTTCATTGGCTGTCTTACTCCTAAAAATACAGGCTTCATGAGGGTGCAGATTCTGTCAATCTCTGTTACTACTATACGCTCAGCACCAGGCACACCGCCTGCCACAGAGAGAAGCCGTGTTCGTTTCCTATCCATGCACAACAAATTAACACAAACTCAGTGACGAAAACAGCACCCATTTATTATCCCACAGTTTCTATACACCAGAAGCCAAGTCGCGCTCCTCTGGGTTCTCCCCTTAGGGTCTCATGAGGCCAAAGTCAAGGTGTTGACCAAGCTGGACAACGCTGACCGGAGGCCCTGGGGAAGCGCCCACCTCCAAGTTCATCCAAGTTGCCGGCAGATTCCGTTCCTTGTGGTTGTAGGACTGAGGGCCCCGTTTTCTCGCTGGCTGTCAGCGCGGGCTGCCTTTTGACTATGTGGGACACTCTCAGTCCTTGTCCCATGATTCCCCTCCATCTCAGCACAGCAAACCCCAATTATGTTTGAAGTTTCCCTTTCTCTCCCACTACTCGCGAGAGAAAAAGCCTCTGCTATTGAAAGCTCCTGTGATTACATTAGGTCCCCTCAGATCGTCCCTCTTCATTAACTTAAAGTCAGCTACCAGCGGCCAGTGACATCTGCAAGCTGGCATAATCATGGGGAGAGATGTTCATAGTCTTGGTCGCAGGGATCAGAGCAGGAAATCTTGGTACGGGGTGGGATTCTGCCTACTCTGGATGCCCTCTCAGACCTGTGGATGCATGAGTGAATCAATTTGTTCCACAAACTGTGCAAAGGACAGGGGATGATAAATGAGCAAGACCCGCCTGGCCCCTCCCTCCTAGATCTTACAGCCCAGACGAGGGTTATTCAGATAGAAATATAAAGGAAGCCACATCAGGAGTTTTCAGTTTTCTTGTGGCCACATTAAAAATAGTAATAAGAGGGAGGCCTGGGTGGCTCAGTCGTTTAAGCTGCTACCTTCAGCTCAGGTCATGATCCCAGGGTCCTAGGATCGAGTCCACATGGGGCTCCTTTCTCAGCAGAACCTTTCTCAGCTTCTCCCTCTGCCTGCTGATCCCCCTGTGACTGTGTGTTCTTTCTTTCTCTCACAAATAAATAAATAAAATCTAAAAAATAATAGTAATAAGAAACAGGAGAAATTAATTGTAGTACTCTATTTAACTTGATCCAATATGTCCAAAGTATTATTTTAATATGAAATCAATATTAACAAAATGAAATTCATACTAACCAATATCACACTGTATGTTAACTGGAATTTTGAGAAACACTTAAAAATTAGATAAACTCAGAGGAAAATTTAAAAAACCTAAACTCATACTGAATCTAAAATTCAATATATTAATTTATAATCATTTAAAATCAATATAAAAAAATAAGTCCTTACTTAATCTTCAACATCTGGTATATATTTCACACTTAGAGCATATCTCAGTTTGAACCAACACATTTCAAGGTACCCACATGTGGCCGGTGGCTGTCATGCTGGATAGTTAAAGTCCAGACACATCACCACAAGGGGACAGTGAAGTGTGCATGAGACTTCTTGTGCTACATCCCACACTCAGCAGGATCAGGCAAGGCTTCCAGGGAGGAAGTGACACCTAAACTGAGACCAGAGAGGGAGCGGGCATCAGGCGCATGGAGGGTTGGTGTAAATACTCATCAGACAGGCAGGGCTGTGAGGCTAGGAGAAAGGAGAGCTTTGGATTGCAGAAGCAAGTCCAGCACAGGTGGAGCGGGGCGTGTGGGGCTGGAGAGAGAGGGGCTGGCACGGCTAGCTTCCTTCCTCCATCCTGAGGGCAGTGGGATGGTGAATGCAGGTTGCACGCAGGGAACCCAAGATGGAGGTGCTGTCCTTCGAAACAAGGCTGTCGGGGGCACCGGTGAGCACCCCGAGTCGGGTGCTTTAGGAGAAGATGCTCGGAAACAGAGTGGGCAGCTGTGACCCTCCGGGTGAGGCGGGAATGGCCAGAGATTATCCCATCGTGGGGGGCTGCCTGGATTGCCTTATTCTTGTTTTTCATTTTTTTTAAAGCACAGGCTTATTTTCCCCCCAGCAAGGGATCAGCTGCATTTCTAACTGCTGGGAACTGTCGTCTGAGTCTTTCTCTCAAAGCCATGTCTGCCTCCCGGTGAATGGATTGTCCAGTGGAAGGAGCGGCAAACCGTTTCTGAGTGTTCTCTCTTCCACAGCGCAAACCTTGCCCCAAAGCCGTGCACGGCCCTAGTGAGGCACTATATTCTGCCTAGTGACCTGCTACCCAGCTGGAAATCTTTCTCTCAACTGAATAAATGATTGTTCTTTGCTACTTTATCTTGGAAAAACATCAAGGACATCAGGCATTCACTGTAATTATTTTTCACTCGTTTCCCCATCTGTAAAATATGACCGGTGCATTTTAGTACTACTTTGGGTTTCTCTTTACCTTTTAATCATGTGGCCTTTTAATATATTGGTCAGCCCTTTAAAAGGATGATTAAGAAATGCTTAATGCACAAAAGAATTAGAGCTATGCACAGCTCATGAAGCAGAAAGCGTGCTCTGACTTACAATTTTCATACGAAGTTTGCAGAGATTTTATGTGCCAGAATAAGTAATATGATCTGCTCGAGGAACTCCCTAGCTTTCTGGCTCTGCAAAAGTCATTTTTTTTTTTTTGCCCCGATTCAAGTTTCTTAACCAGAAGGGTTACACCAAACTCCTCAGAGTATGAATTAGCAGAGTTCATCCAAGCCACATATTTCGTTTGTACTGTTTAACCAGGGCTGGGAGTAACCGCCTACCTGTACGGACACGGGGTCTCCGGCGCTCTCATTAGTCAGTGTGGCTCGAGAAATTCTGTGCATCGACCACCAATTCAGACAGCGCAGGCTCTATACAAAAGGTGGTTCACACATGTGTGAGTGTGTGTGTGTGTGTGTGTGTGTGTGTGTGTGTGTGTGTTTGATCTTTCCTCTCACTGCCATATTCCTCAGAGAGCTGCTCTATTGCCATGTGCCCGGAAACTCCCCGAGTATTCAAAGGCCATATGTGAATGATAATGAGCATCGGCGGGGGGAGCCAGTCATCTTCTGAAGGTCCTCTGGGCCAGGCCTCTCTTCCCACCCATTTTACTGATTCTTCCCAGGCTGCACTTGTGTTCCACCCCAGGCCCTCTTGATGGGGCAGTGAGGAAGCATGGGGTGCTCCTGCTTCTCTGTGCCCCAGAGCATGATGCATGTGGATGGCTGGCTGTTCCATTTATGTTTAGGGTCAAGCACGCACGTCTTTGTGTGCAGGGGGGAAGGGGGGAGGCCAACTTTGTTTTGTTCTTTTCTATTCAATACCCTTTTTAAAAATGTTTTCCCTGTAGCAAAACATACATTAAAATGCACCATTTTAACCATTTAAGTGTACAACTTAAGCATAATTCAGAGGCATTCAGTGTCTATACAGGGTTGTACAACCCCTACTGTCCATTTCTAGAACTTTCTCACTATCCCAAAAGATCAATTATACCCACTAAGCAATAGCTCCCCATTCCTCCTCCCCTCCAGCCCCTGGCAGTCCTCTAATCTATTTTCTGCATCCACAAATTTATCTCTTTGAGATATTTCATGTAAGTGGAATCATACAATGTTTGTCCTTTGCTGTCTGGCTCCTTTCACTGATTTCGCTGCTGTGATGTCTTCCAATGTCATTCATATTGTGACATGAATCAGAACTTCATTTCTTTTTAGAGCTGAGTAATATTCCACTGTATGTATATACCACATTTGTTTATCCATTCCTTTTGGTTATAGATGCCTGGTGGGTTTTTTTTCTCCCTGTTGGTTATTGTTAACAACGCTGCTGTGAACATCTGTGTGCCAGTCTCTGAGTCCCTGTTTCCCATTCCTCTGCATCACACCTAGCCTTGGAAATGGCTAGGTCCAGTATTCTTCGAACCTATTGGTCTCAGCTGGTTTGGAAGCAAATGTTAAGTTTTCTGGTGTCCTGACCATCCTTAACTCTCTAGTGTCTATAACGTGAAGTTAAAAATAGTTTAGGAACCTTACTCGTAGCTCAGGTCATGATCCTGGAGTCGCAGGATCGAGTCCCACATAAGGCTCCCTGCTCGGCAGGGAGTCTGCTTCTCCTGCTGACTTTTCTCCTCTCTCTCTCTCTCTTTCAAATAAATAAATAAAATCTTAAAAAAAAAAAAAAAAGAACCTTACTCATTGTTGAAAAGCGTGGAAAGAAAAGCCCTGAACATGTACTCTGATCACGTAGAAGTGATCCCTGGAACATTTTGGTCTATTTCCTTTCACTTTCTTGTTGCCTATCAAGAGACCTCTACACCTGTATGCGACATCTTTTGAAAGAGGCCTCTTCTCAAAGGTGTTTACAGGACATAATTTAACTTAGTGTTCACTCTGTCCTTCCTCTGTACGTCCTCCCCATGCCAACTAACCCCAGCCAAAGCGAGTAGTAGAGGGTCCATGCGGGGATGGGGTATGGGAAGGCTGGCCCTATCAGCTCTATCTGGCTCTATCTGTAATCTCCTCTTCAGTGGCAGTTGCTTTCCCTGCTAAATGTTGTGCTTTCTTGTTACAGCTATCAGAAGAGCTAACTAAAGGGGAAATGCAGCTCTGCAGCAATGTTCTGATAATCTCTTGCAGCATGGCTCACGTCACTGGCCATCACCACCTGGAACGCGCATCGGGACCGAAGAGGAACTTTTCATTTTCATTATGGCGCACAGTTCTGTTCGACTTGATATTTCCTTTATCGTCTCATGTCATTTCTCATGGATTCAGATATGTTGGGCAGGAAGAACGAGGAGGAGGAGGAACATGACAGATCCTCCGTTTTTGGGGTGGGGGGGTCAGGATTTGGGTGTTCAAAATGTGATCATCTCTTCTGAATGTCATTCTTTGATACATTTTATTTATGTTCCTTAAACATCGTGGGATAAACTTGAACTCCATGGGATTTTAACTGTGGCTTCAGCTTCTTTTGGACCACTCGCTTCATCTCCGGTTCTGCTGCTGGTTCAGTCGAAGTGGTCATTCCTAAGGCATCAGATTATCAAAAAGTGTAAATTCTGTGAGTGAGTGGTGTTGGCAGTGTTTGTACACCAAGATGCATGGAGTGTTTGACGAAGAAACCAAAACACCAAAAATGGTGAGCCTTTACCCTCCTCTATTTCTTTAATGCGCTGTTTGAAGAACCACATTTTGATGGTGTAACCAGTAGTTACCTCTGGGCCAGGTTGGAAATGAAATCAATTTTTTAAACCACTAATACTTGCCAAGAAATCGCCTTATGAGAACATGGTGTGTGTCTCTGACAAAGCATGGCATGTCCAAATCGATCATTCATGATCCTATCTACCCTGTTTCTGTGCTGGAGAGTGGCAAAAGCCTGAGGCACCCGCACCCTTCTATTCCGTGCAGCCCACGCATCCCTGTGGCGGGGACGTACCCGAGCCTCAGGCTCTTACCATTCCCATACGCGCAGGTCTCCATGGAGAAGCTGGGACTCATTCACATTTCCAGATCCAAATGCTGTGCAACGAGTGTAAGCTTAGATCTTCTGGAAATGAAGGGTCATTTCTCATTTTTTTTTTTTAATGTCTCCAACATGGATTCCAAAGCATTTTCAGCATCAAACATGAAAACATTGATGAATGAGGAATAATCACAAAAGCTGTGTATCTGTATATAGCTCTACACAACACGTGTGTGGGTACAGAGTCATTATGTAAAGCACATGCCAGGGAAAGAGACCAAATTTGGAGGTCTTTTCCCTACAGTGACATGGTACTAAGGAGGATTTAACTCCTACTGCTTTCTCTGAAAATGAAAAAATAAGGAAGGTTGTTTTAACTGCATAAAACTCACAACCAGTCTGGCAAACATGTGCAACTCTCGCATTGATCCACTTTCTCGTCAATGGAAGAAAGCCTTCCACAGGTACGCAAGTGGGAGATGAAAATCTGCATTCTTACGAGGATAAACAGTGAAGTTAAGCATGAGTGGCCTTAATAAATACAGTTGTCTTTCTTTGCTGCTGTGGGAAGGATTCCACACAGATGCTCCTGAAGTCTTGCATTGAATTTAGTTGTTATTATCACTTTTCAAAATGTTGGTGCAATGAACTCCAGACCTCTCCCGTGAGCCATAGAGATATTTAAAAGACAGATACCTTATTTGTCGGGGAAGATGAAACTGTGTCTGGGTTGCACTGTTCATCCTTGGTGCGTTAGAAGTAATATATCCAAGCAGGTTTCTTGCTTCTGGCTTTGTTCTTGTCGTCAGTAAGTATAGCGAACTACGTAAAGCTTTCGTGTCGCGTAAACAATCCAAATACATTCATGTTTAAAAAGTTTGTCCTTTAACTATCAAAGGGTTTTAGGATCTCGACTGGAGAAGAGAGCAGAGTTCTTTGCAAATGTTTATAGCACATTTTGACATAATGTCGCACTGAAAACCCAGGCCACGTAAGCGTGTCCCCGTGAACAATTTAGGTGTCCTCAAAAAGGCGGTCCTCTCCGCCTCCTGCAGCCAGATCCTGACCTGAACTCTGCAACTGAATACTTGAAGTAGGAGTAGGAAACCCACTAGGGAAACTAGGGTCCTCGAAACAGAAAAAGCAACCAACCACATATAGTTAGCTATTTCTCAGTATGTGCCAATTTTATCACAGCTGTTGTTTGGGGGGGCATTTTTTGGCCCCACTTTTGTTGGGTTAAAGTATTATCAATCTCATCATTATGGGGGCATATTACTTAGTCCCTTAAAAATTAAATTCCATCTGACATAGCACATTTTCCCATTTCGTGTAATATTCTCTGATGTTTTGGGGGTTACCAAAAAAATTCTCTTTTTCACAAAAATAGTCTCTGGGTTTACAACAAACACTGTGATGTTGGGGAGATATTTCCTTTGCGCAAACGTTAGCAGGTACCCCTCTAATCATAATGAGGTTGGAAAAAAAAAGTGGAGGCTAACATTTAGGAGAAGTTGGTCTTCTTGCTCTGTGCAAAAACAGGCTTGTACTTTATACCCCATTTGGTTTTGATGTACAGTCTCGATTTTGTATTTAATGATTTTTGTGTATCCAGTATGCACGTTAACAGCGTGTCAACTTTCATTTGAAAGTGGGTTTCAATTTACTTTTTAAACAGTGTTTATGATGAGACCTCAAATGTGTTGACATAGGCTCTCTCTGAGATGTGTTTGTGTAGAGTGGCGTTTGAATGCTACCAGGGGTCAGTGTATCTAATTCCCGGAGACCCTTGTTTGATAGTGCTTCTTGTAATTTTTCTCCAAGTGAGTGGCATGTAGGTTGTGAATATTGACCATGTGATTATGGACTTCGATATGAAAACAATACGTAAAACTAAGGAACCCTCAGAAACTACCAGTGGGCATGTATTAGCCAATCATTGTAACCTCGTGTCTAGTAGAAGTACAACAGCATACAAGGTATGTACAGTTCATAACTTTGTTATCATGTGTATGAGGAGTACTTTGTGCTGATCGCCTTATTTATATTCATCAAATAAACTTTGTTTCTTTCTGAAGTGAGTTTATTCCATCTCTAATAAATGTTCTGATTGTGGTGGTTTCTAATCTTTTTGGGGTCACGGATGTTCATTTGAGGAACCTAAGGTCTTGCAGAAAAAAGGATGGCTGAGGGAAGTTGTATACTCACTTCACAGGAGTGAGCAAGGCACAAATTTCCCTTGACACGTAGCTGAATCCAGAGGTTCATATTAAGAAATTAAGTCATTGGCGGGATCTCCCTTCTTCCTTCCTTCCTACCATCCCATCCCCTTTGTTTTTTCTCTCTCTCAATCTCCCCCTGCTTCTCTCTTCTATCCCTCCCTCCTCTCCTCCTTCCCACCTTTTTTCTTTCCCTTTCTTCCTCTCCTTCCTCCCTCCCTTTCTCTTTTTCCCGTTTCCTCTTAACTTTCAATGGGTTGACATCAGTCCCTGCTGGGTTCTTTCTACTTGGTGGCAAAGATGACTCCCAACAGCTTTGAGCATTCTGGGGTTGAAGGGCAGGGACCCTCTCCTTTCAAGCATCCACATTAGCTTCCTAAAGGGAATCTTACTGTCCTTTTTGGATCACACTTCCAATTACCTTATTCAAGGGAGTTGGGAGAGAGAGGCCCAGTGATTGACAGCCTCACTGATGTGGGCAGGGCACTCTCCAAAGGGAAAAAAAATGGGCTTTATTCTAGAAGAGAGGGACAAGAAAGCTGGGCAGGGGCAGGCAGCAATAATAGTTAGCCCTGGATACCCTTGGTTGCACACACAAAATCATCCAGAAAAACACACAAATCATCCATGTAAGGGCTCACCAGCCTTCACAGCCCAACTGGGATCATGGTGGGGAATGAGCTCCTGATTTCTTTAAAGGTTTGAATTGTATTCCAAGAAATGAACTACCAAATCTTACCCTTATTGAAATCAAACAGTAATTAATTATCAAAGCTAGAAAGTATGTTAGATGCCCTGTGTCCAATAGTCTCATTTTGCAGATGGGAAAACAGGCCCAGTTAGAACGCGACTGATTCCAGCATGTATGGTAAGTTCACTGCAAACCAAGACTGTCCCCAAGGCTCCAAAACAGAAATATATATCCCCAGAGATTCTCTGGGGAGGAGAGGATGGGATAGAATGTCCCCCCAGTTGGCCCCTAATGACATAGGGGACATACCATTTGCTTTATGGGCTCATGGCCACTATGTGTGAAATTCTCCCACAGTCCGGAGCATTTTGGAACAGTCTGCAGTCGTGCCCTTTTCATCATGTTGCCTTTTTGTAGAAAAAGAACTTTAGTTGGACAAGAATTTCTTCCTTCGTAGAACTTCCTGAAGCAGCCGGCTTGCATTCAAGCTTGATTATGTAAACCGAGCCGGCCAGATGGAGCCTCTGCTTCTTTCCTCACAAAACACTCCTTTTGCTAAGAAAGGTACTAGCCCACGCACCGCTGGACTCCTCTGAGGGTCAATCCGCACGAGAGTTCCACCGATAACGTATGACGTCATTTGGGTATACGTGAGGCTTTGACCTTAAAATTCTGCCCTGCCTGTATCTGTGAATGGCTCTTACAAAAAACTGGAGAGCTGTTCTAATTCTTCGAAGTGCTACTCCACAATAATGATTGTACTACTAGTAAATGAACACAGATCAAAATAATTGGGTGTGATTGAGCATTTGCTAGGAACCGGGCCATGGCACTCAGACTAACATGCATGGCATTGTTGCTAAATGCCATGCCCATGTGAACTTGTCCTCCCAGTAATCCCAGTTTCCTGAGGCAGGAAACATCATTCTCCTCAGACAAGGAAGGGGAGGCCCAGGGAGCTTAGATACCTCACCCAGGGTCCCACTGGTTGTATGTGGTAGAGCTGGGCTTTGAACCCAATACTCAGTGAGCCCCTTGGTTCCAGGGATGCATCAAGCCCCAGGGACATACTGGCCGGGACGCAGATCCTAATCGCTCCCACCTGCCAGTTCATCTGTGTTGCAAATTTGGGCTCCAGGGTGGCTATTCGGCTCACAGAGACCTGAAGGAATTGGGTTCTTCCAGAATGCCCCAGTTGGCCAATACTGGGAGAGAACAGATGGCCACTCAGCGAGGCTGTGGATCCCAGTGGAAATCAAGTCTTGTGGGAAAAAAGATCTCCGACAATACATTGGATCTACACCTGCTATCCAGGGGCCTCTCTACTTCTTCTATGCCCCAAGTGTCTGGGCATCACCACCCTTGACCTAGGAGCTTTTGGGTTTGCATGGTAGGGGATCTGGTGACAAGACAGTGGACAGGTGTCCCCAGCTGGG